TGTGTGTGTGTGTGTGTGTGTGTGTGTGTGTGTGTGTGTGTGTGTGTGTGTGTGTGTGTGTGTGTGTGTGTGTGTGTGTGTGTGTGTGTGTGTGTGTGTGTGTGTGTGTGTGTGTGTGTGTGTGTGTGTGTGTGCGTGAGTGTGTGTGTGTGTGTGTGTGTGTGTGTGTGTGTGTGTGTGTGTGTGTGTGTGTGTGTGTGTGTGTGTGTGTGTGTGTGTGTGTGTGTGTGTGTGTGAGTGTGTGTGTGTGTGTGAGAGAGAGAGAGAGAGAGATAGCTTGCATCACCCAGACTCCAAGCTGGCAAGGCACCCAGGAGCAAGGCTCCTGTCACGTCCTTTGAGATGGCCCTCAGTTGCACCAACCCCTCAAAAGAGAGCGAAGCAGAGAGAGTGCAGAACGAAAGGAGAGTGCAAAAGCGCCCGCCTGGTTACCCTTCCAAGGCCCCCGCAGCTCCGAGCTTCCTTCGGAGAGGCTTCGATAGCGCTGGTAGGCGTCCTGTCCAAACCGAAGCAGGGCGGCAAGGGACGGGAAGTGGAAAGCAAGCGCAGACAGAGTAGCAAAGTGAAGCGCGAGTCATACGCCCTCTGCACATTCAGTCAAATCGCTCAAACGACACTGCTCGGACTGCCGTAAATTTCGTTTGCAACGGCCACCTTTCAATCAGGCCCAGTGCGAGCTAGGCCCAAACCCCTGAAGATCACCAGTCATGAACATCAGAGTAGTTCCACACACTCGCGACGTGTAGCTGCATTCGTTGGCATAGTTTAGCATACTCTACCTCTACCAAGATTCAAGATACTTGTGCGTGGCAGACCCTTATAGGTGCTCACTCCAGTCAACAGTTCCACACACTCGCTTTTTTCACTACCCAGCTGATCACGCCCACATGGTAGGAGGGCCCGGCTGGGCTAAACGAAACGCCCTGCAAACCTCGTAAAGGACACAAGCTCGCCCTCTCACTTGTCTTACCACCGGCACCATTCGTCCGTGTGCCTCCTGGTAACAGAGAGATAACAGCTTCCGGCCGGTACCTGGCGAAGCCCGTGGCCGGCGAATAGCCGAAAAGTGGCCATTTGTCCGGCTCGGGTAGACGCGAGGCAGGTGCAGGACATCTCCCACGAGAAGCCGAAGCCGAGTCTGACACTAACGTGGATGCAGCTACCTCTTGTGTCATGGTGCGTCGGCACAACATTCTGATCTGCAAGGCCGCAATAGGACGATTCCGAACGGCATGACTTTACGCTTTGTTCGATTGCTGGCTGTGCCGGTACATTTGACACTTTCACCATGCGCAACTCTCCCATCTGTATGGTGACATACAAAGCGCAAGCAGCTTCCTCACTCAAATTCTCCGGCGTCGACTTCTTTTTGCAGGGCACCAGGCACAAGCAGGCGGGCCATACTTTGACAAACATGTCAATCAATGATCAGTCGTATATTGGTGGCCGGCCATGGTTGCCACACCCATTCTACTACTTGCGTTGCGAAGAGGCGTTGCGACTGCAGGGGAAGTCCGATACTTAACAAGGCACCGCATGCGACCATGGCCTCATCAATGCGGGATTATCCTGCCACTGGATCTGGTGAAGATCAGAAGGGAAATGTCTCCAGCTCTGCCGACGAGCAATGCTAGGGAGTGGAGATGGAGACTTCACTTCGCGAAGGCGAAGAGGCGAAGTGAAGCGAAGTGAAGAGTCCCGGAGCCGGGGAGCCGGGGAGCGACGACCCGACCGCGAGCTTTTGTCATCTCTGTCTTCAAAGAGGCGCTTCGAAGCTTCGAAAGCTGTGCCGCCTGCTGTGGGATCGGATTTCGCACTCCTCCGGCATTTCGCTCGGCAAGAGTGGCCACTCATGAAAAGATCCGCAGCAGTGGGCTTCGCATCAAGAAATGCCAGCACCGTCGCCACTGGTAAGTGCCCAACTGTTGCCGTTGGGCCGAAGCCCGCGTAAGAATTGCAAGAATGACCTGTGACCTGTCATTAACAAGGGAGTGAGGCAAGCCGCCGCAAAGCACTTGGTTCTCAATCACAGAGGCAAGTATCACGCTCTGGCTGCAAAAGCCAAAATTGGCAAGACAACACGAATCTCCGAGCTAAGCCCAGAACGAGGATCATCGTAGTTTGCAAGCTAGCATTTTGCAGGAACTCCACAGGGTTGACAAAAAGCTTGCAAGTCCAGGCATCGGGATAAGCATAGACAAAGTCAAACTTGGTTTGCTAAACTTGGGCTATTTGGCAAGTCGACAAGAGTGGATTGCAGTACGGAGACAGTCACATGAAATTGCTGATACTCGTGTAGGCCCATCATGTAGGCCTGAAGCAAAGACGGTTGAAGTTGCGCAGTTGGGGGGAGAAGGGGATGTCAAGCACGTGTCTTGCATGGTGACGAGCCCCCCACGGCGAATGTCAACAGCTTTTCGTCGGGCTTGCCATCTGTTTATTGTGTCGTCGATCCCGACGCGAGTAGGTGCTGCTTGCCTGTAAGGGGTCATTTCAAAAG